AATCATGCTGTTGCTAACGTTTTTGTTTTCTCTCCTGTTAGTCTGAGTGGTCTGTGTCCTTTCCTTGGTGATGATGAAAGTCAGACTCTGAACAACATTCTGGCCTGTCAGTGGAACTTGGATGAGCAAGAGTTTGTTGACACATCGGAAGAAGCCAAAGATTTTATCCGAAGACTCCTCGTTCCAAATAAATGGTCGCTGCATTCTGTCTTTGTAAGATCTGAGCTGCTGGTAATATCGAAGACGATGAGAGTGTAATATCAATGTTTTTTGTGTTTGTCATCAGTTGGAGGATGGGTGCGTGCGAGGCGTTGAGGCATCCTTGGCTTTCTGACCCTGTTCTTCATCATCATCTTTACACAAAGGTAGAACAACAGGACTGAAGAACAGTACAAGAACAAATAGTACCACTTTACAATAAGGCTCCTCTTATAGATGGCTAATAAATAGTTTATAGATATGTTATTAATTCCTCTATAAACACTTTATAAATCTTTAAGAACTGCTTGTTATGCATTAATTAAGGGCAAGACAGAGACAAAACTGACCAGTTTGTTGCCAAATAGTGAGTCAAATCTGTTCAACTATATATTTAATCTAAAGTTGTTATATTAAACAATTCAGACCAAGTTACTACATTGTAAGCACAACAAACATTTGTAAACCTATTTTTTTAGGGGTATAATATTAGTTGTAGATACTTATAATGCAGTAATAAAGTATAATATTATATGCTAAAGAAATAGGTTTACAAATGCTTATTGTGCTCACAAGGTGGTAACTTAGTCTATTTAAGAGACTGAGCTGAAAACAGCACCTCAGACTGAAGAAGTCTCTCGGACGAGAGACGAAACGTTTCTACATTTTTTTGTTGTTTTGCTTTGTTTTGGGTTTTTTTGAATGTCCAGAGGACCAGATTTAACTTTATTAGATTAGTCTGAAATGTTTAATATAACAGCTTTAGATGAAATATATAGGTGAACAGATTTGACTCGCTATTTAGCAACAAACTGGTTAGTTTTGTCTCTATCTCGCCCTTAATTAATGCATAATAAGCAGTTCTTAATGATTTATAACGTGTTTATAGAGGAATTAATAACATGTCTAGTAACTGTTTATAGTCATCTATAAGGGGCGCGTTATTGTAAAGTGGTACCGAACAAATAAAGCTAACAAAACAGTTCAACAGAATCTCTGGCACCATTATCGTTTAATTCAACTTTAGAAACATTTGGTTGCCAGTCAAATCAGAATTTCTGAATATTCTACCATTTACTTTTGCATAAATACTACAATAACTAAAATATAGAGTAAAACACTTTTTGCCCCGCTCCCTTCAGGCAGGAGGTTGAGGA